GTCACTGAGTCATCAACATTAGGAGAGAAAGTTTAAGGATTTGTTGATTGTAAAATAAGCAAATCAAAAAACAATTAAAATATTGAAACTTCACTGAGATAAAAACGGAAACTTCAAAATTTCCTTGTTCACTAAAGATGTTAAAAATAAAAATAACATTCATTATTGTGTATCTACTTAACATTTTTTCGCTGTAAATATCAATTGAAAATATAACAATTTTTATTATTTTTGCACGTAACATCTATACAAAAATCTACATTTTCTTTCATTTAATAGAGTAAACTGTTCGAATATGCAATAAATAAAATTTTTCTAGTTTGTATGGGAACGCAATTCTTTTTTCACATATATTTGCTAACTAATAAGATTTTCTCTATGAATCACTTTTGTTTTCCATACTATTTATTGCATTGGTTTTTTAAAAATCTATCTTGAATTTCCAGAATTCATTAATTTAGATCTCTATGCAAAGATGCATTAATTGTTCTCTTATGAATTGTCAAAACATCATCACATAGTTTATGGACACTACGATGGTAAATGTCTTATACAGAAGATATGCTGAAGAGAAATGAAAATGCTCTATTGAGATAATTCTAGTGTTTTTCTCTAACTGAGAATGTCTTTTCTCTTGTTATTATTTTTCTCTTGTCATGCTATTCAACAGGAAAGAAATTGCTTTCTATCAAAACTCAGCTTAGAATTCTTATTTTCACATCAGAATTTATCCAGAATTGTGATCTTCTAGCAGAACCTTAGTATATTTAATATTATACTACTAAATGAAATTCAAAATCCATTCTGTGGGTATTCGTACTAGTTGATGGTGAAGACGAAAATCTTGAAATTGTTCACCAGGGGCAAGGCACGACTCTTTGGGTGCATGGAATCTAGATCCAAAACGAAGAAAATATATACTACTTGTTGAAAAAATTGTCGACATTCTCAAGAAAATTGGTTCAAAATAAGAAAGTTTAACGAAAATTTGGCTAATATTATTGTATTTCATTATAATGAGATTATCCAAATGTAGCTATCACAACTCAGTCATCGGTTTTGCTTAAGCAATTTTAACGTCAATAGGAAGAGCAAAAATTCAATAAAAAGCATAATTTTTATAATAGTTATCAATTACTCTAATTATATATTATAGAACAAATGGCGTCGGTAATGATATCTATATATATAAAGAAGAGTGTTTGTCTGTTTGTCTGTCTGTCCGTTCGCTATGCATTTGGACACTGTACATCCAAATGCAGCCAAACTTTGCATGCTACACCCTTACGTCCCGACGAAGGTCGAGATAGGATTGGCGGGGCTCGAGGTGGGGTTTTATGAAGGATTTTCGCCAGTTTTCTGGAAAACCATACGAAATTTTCTTCGATTTTTCAAAAACTTTCTTGATTTTACCGATTTCTGGACTACTCCCTTCCCACTTTTACCTCTTTGCACTGTCCTTGAGTCAACAACTACTTTTTGATCCAAAACTTTCACTTCCAAGGTATTTAATAAGCATCTATCTTGCTTTGAATTGTTTTATTAATTCTGGAGACATTTAATTCATAATAAATATTATTCGAACTTCTTATGAGTTGAGGTTTATGATACATATATAACCATTTATCTTGATTTCCCTAAAGATGCATCGTAATGGTTTCTTGGTCAATTATGTGCGTGAGTATGTGTAATTGACCAACTTATAATAATGCATTGAAAACATATCTAACATAGTAGTAGGCACTTTCATCAATTAATATCACACAGAAATTTCGAAAGATTTTTATTCGTTGTACGTAGAGAATAATTTGTTTCGAAAAATTCGATTTTTTTATTTTTTTTCAAAATTATCGATTTTGTTGGTTCAATATTTCAATGACGGAACGATAAAGAAAATTATTCTTTTTACTTATCAATAGATAATAAAATTCACTACAAAAAAACGTTCTTATCGTTTTCAGATCCCATACTTTCTTTATTTTCTACAATCATTCTACAAATGATAATCCAAATTGTCAATGGGAGGTAAAGGATTAACTTAATAGATTTTTCAAAGACCATGTTTCAACTTCTGTCATTATACTTGCCGGATTTTATTGTTTCTCTTTTTTACTTATTAGTCAGGACAAGATCAATAAACAAAATAGACTAGACATAGTAGCAGTGTTTCTAACAATCAATCATGACAGATTATATGGTTATTTTGGATGCATCATGTTGTCCATCGTTCTTTATGTTTTGTTTAAGTCGATTCGCATTTTTCATTGACTTTTGTTTTTAAACTACATACTATTTATATAGTCAACTTATACATTGAATAATGGCAGATAATACAAAACAAGTCAACTGTTATATTGAACAAGAACGTAAAACTATCGAACTTTATTTAGTCTTTTCATTTATTTAATATGGAATATTATTTTTCGAAAAGCACAATGAATTTAGAATTATTACCCAATGAAATTTTTCTTGATATATTCGATTATTTCGATAGTATCGACCTTCTTCATGTATTTTCTAATCTCAATTATCGTTTCAACTTTCTTCTCCACAAGCTATTTCGATTTTATTGTTTCAAATTCTAATTTGTGTCAAAACGTAATTTCGATATGATATGCCAACAGCATTTACCATTTATTGCTCATCAAGTTATTATTCTTCATTTATCTAATGGCGATGAAACTCCTGAATAAATTAATGTATTGTATTCTTACATATCATCATTCAATTAATTCACTCAATTACGATCGTTAGAACTATTCACAAACTATTGCTCTTTTTGAAATGATCAAATTGATTTACAATCATTTGTTGATAATATTTGCAGTCTACTAAAACTTACTAATTATTATTTTGGCATTACCATAGAAAAACAACGCCGTTTCTACATGCCAACAATTATTTCATGATCATTTGAATGCATAACTTTATTTCATCATGAATTTGAAATGAATCAGATAAATCAATTGTTGAGAATATACACCTTGTTTAAAACATCTTTTGAGATGTTCTCTAACTCCAATTAATGATAACTATTGTTTTCTATCAGAACTCAGCTTAAAATTCTTGTTTTCACATCAGAATTTAATCAAAATTCTGATTCCCTAGCAGAATTATGATAAAGCATAGACATCTATCATTTCCCAGAAATCAAAATTCTGATTCTCTGGCAGAATTTTGGTATATTTAATATTATCGTACTAAATGAAATTCAAAATCCATTTTGAAGGCATTCGCACTAGTTGATAGTGAAGACGAAAATCTTGAAATTGTCCATTAGGGCAAGGCACGACGCTGTGGGTGCATGAAATCTGGATCTAAGGCGAAGAAAATATGTACTACTTGTTAGAAAAATTGGCGATATTGTTAAGAAAATTGATTAAAAAAATAAGATAATTTCAGGAAAATTTGGTTAATACTATTAGATTTCGTTCTGACGAGATTATCAAAATGCAGCAATCAGAACTCAAGCATGGGTTGTTTTTAATAATTTGATATTTAAATCGCATGAGCAAAAACTCAATTAAAAAGAGAATTTCTGTTTTAGGTATCGGTTACTTCAATTATACATTTATAGGTCATATAAAATCACTAATGATAATCTCTTTATATTCAAACAGTATTCTGGCAGAATTCTGCTTTCTTAGATGATATGTCACTCAGTGCATATAATTAAACGTGTATTAAAACAAAAATTCTATGTGGAAATTTTTGTTTTTCGAGCAACAGTATAATCACCAACCGACCACTCGCTTTCTCACTCTCATGCATTCTCATGAATTTATGAGTTAACTATTTGAATGCTTTTTGAGAGAAAACGAAGAATACAGAAGAATCAATCCTAATCGATAGTATTTAGTTCTTTTTAGTTTTTGTTACAATGAATCTTTTAGGAATTGATTAAGTCACTTTCACATAGATTCTCTTTTGAATTTGCATTACGCTGAAATATTTGTAAATGAATTTGATTCTTTTACAGTCGAAAAATATAAACGATGTTTGACTGGTTTTTTAATGCTATTGACGAAATCGGAGGAAGCGAAAAATAAAATGAAAAGCTCCCATGGCCTTGCTTCGAAAGAAATATATGGTCGTCCGTAGAGTATGTGATTGAGAAAGACAAATATGGAATGTTGCTGATAAGAAATCGGAGAAAAAATGGCGGGGCTCTTGTTTTCATGTGCACATAAAGAAACAATCATTCATTTTCGTCACTGAAGCTTGGGTGCTTTTGGTCTGACATTACTTGATCGTGATCGAACTTCATCGTTGACACCATGACACAACAAAATAAATCTATCAGGAAGATGAACGATGATGCTTCTCAAGATAACTCCCTTCTTAAAACAAATGTCGAGAATAAAGAAAGTACAACACTGCTCTGGTTTGATCAAAATATTGGTTCACATGAAGATACGGAACGAACTAAACAAGAAGTTCGTTCTATCAATGATTTTATCATCTTTTACACTGATCTCAAGCAATGTGTGACATTTATTCAATCCATTAAGAGAGAAAAGATCTTCTTGATTACATCAGGATCAAAAGCATCACAGTTTCTCCCACTTATTTCTGATCTATCTCAAGTTGATTCTATCTTCATCTTTTGTATGAACAAAGATAAATATCAACATCTTATTACTGAATATCCTAAAATCATTGGTATTTATGTTTATCTCAATGAGTTATGTTTGTCCATTCGACAACAAATCGATCTCTTCAATAAACAGCTACAAGCATTCAGTATCTTCGATCATCATCATCAACAATCAACAAAAGATCTCTCAAAACAATCAGCTGAATTTCTTTGGTTTCAACTCTTTCATTATATCATCACTCGTCTTCCACGAAATCAACAAGCAAAACAACAAATGATTGATATTTGTTGACATTATTATCGTGGAAATATCAAAGAACAAAAGTTAATCGATGAATTTGAACAAGAATATCGTTCAGAAGATGCTATTCGTTGGTATTCAAAAGACTCATTTCTCTACAGAATGATCAATAAAGCATTGAGAACTGAAGATCTTGATCAATTACAAACATTTCGATTCTTCATTGGTGATCTTTCACAAAGTTTATCTTATGAACATCAAAAGATTTTTTCATCTGATGAAACCATCTTAACTGTTTATCGAGGAACGAAATTAGATGAAGAGGAATTTGAAAAACTCAAAGAAAATCAAGGAAAAATCATTACAACGAATGGATATTTATCAACTAGTCGACTTCGACAACCAGCTATCAACTTTCTAATGAAACCAACTAAAAGAGTTGGTGTTATTAGTGTACTTTTTCAGATTCAATGTGATATTCAACACATTGGTAACAACGTCATCTATTCTGATATTGCTCAATTTAGTAATTATCCTGACGAGAAAGAAGTCCTTTTTGATCTCAATGCAGCATTTCGATTAGATTCCATCGAAAAACAAGGATCAATACAAGTAATCAATATGTCTTTATCAAATGAAGGAGAAAAAATCACAAAAGATTATATTGATTTAACACAAAAAGAAACAGAAGAAAAAAGTGTTGCCATTGTATTTGGACGATTGATGTGTAATCTAGGTCAATATGATCAATCACAAAAATATTTCGAAGAACTATTACAGAAGCCTGATGGAGAAGATATCGCTTGGATTGAATTCAATATTGGTCAAGCTCTTGATTATAAAGGTCAATGGGACCAAGCTAAAATATATTATGATCGAGCATATCAACGAATGACCAGGGCAACACCAATACGAATTAAAGATTCAGCTCAGGTTATGAATAATATTGGTGGTATTTTCTATCGACAAGGAAAGTACGATGAAGCTCTCGATTTTCATCAACGAGCACTAAAAATTCGGGAAGAATTCTGTCCATCTGACCATGCTGCAGTTGCTCAAAGCCTTAACTACATCGGTCTTCTTTTTTGATTCGCAAGGAAAGTATGATGAAGCTTTAGATTACCATCAACGAGCATTAAGACTTCGCGAGAAATTCTTTCCATCTGGCCATGTCGATGTCGCTGCAAGCCTTCACAACATTGGTCATACTCTCTGTCATCAAAAAAAGTACGATGACGCTTTAGAATACTGTCGACGAGCACTGAACATGCGCGAGCAATTCTATCCTTCTGGTCATATCGACACTGCTAAGAGCCTCCATACTATCGGCATGATTTTCGAGCAGCAAAGAAAGTACGATGAAGCCTTGGATTACCATCAATGAGCACTTAAAATGCGCAAGAAATTCTATCCACCCGGTCATGTCCACATTGCTATGAGTTTGAGCAATATTGGTTCTATTCTCAATCATCAAAGAAAGTACAGTGAAGCTTTGAAGTACTGTCAAGAAGCACTGAATATGCTTGAGAAAGTGTATCCATCTGGTCATGTCGACATTGGTCATACCTTGAATACCATTGGAATATGTTATGAAAATCAAAACAAGAAACAAATGGCATTGGACTCTTACCAACGAGCATTGGCCTTATTCGAGATGTTGCTTCCCGCTAGTCATCCTACTCGAATCATAACTAAGAATAATATTCGTCGTATCACTGGAAAAGACTAAAGTTACATCAAGATCTTTCAAAAAAATGATTTTATGAGTGGTATTAGCATATTTTATAAGAAACTTCACTGTTCTTGATTATTTGGATGTTTGCAGAAATTTTTTTGTTGTCGTATGTATGCGAAAGACTTAATGCTGTCACTCTCGATTATAATAGATAAACCCATGCCATAGATCTACATGATTCCGTATTTAGTTTTACGCCACATGCTCCATAGGATGCAAATCAATGAGCACTTTCGATTCATATACAATTTTTGAAGTATTCCACATTGTTTGATATTTGAGACTAGAAAACTCTGGCCTCTTTCTTTACCAAAATTCTCGCTATGTGAAAGAGCGTTTTTTATAGATTCTGCTTTTTTAACGAAAATCTTAGGTTTTCTTTTTTTTTAAACACATACTAAGAACCAACTGTTTCAAAGAACATATCTACTTAGAATTATTCAATATCTGTTTGTTTTGTTGAATAGTTAAAAATTTCTGTTGTTCATAATTCATCATACGATGGTGGATCTATCATTAAGACAGGATATCTGCTCTTTAAATAGGCATATGGTTCAAGATAATTTCGCTCTGACCAGTGAAATTTGTATACCATTATTTTTCTTACTCTTATATTCCTATCAGCAATAATGGTAGATGGATTAATTGCTACTCTCACAATAGCTTGTGCTTGTGGTAATTCATAAAATGTGTATTGAAATCCCGGTTGACATATTTGATAACTTTTTATGAATATTTTGACACGTTCAAATTTTTCTAGATCAAAAAATCTATGACATAAGCCCAGCACATACTTAGAACCGGTCCGTTTAATGTCTCAATAAATCATCCAGTTCTGTCGAGGGTGTGGGTGTGGGTGTGGGTGTGGGTGTGGGTGGGGTGTGGGTGTGGGTGGGGTATGGGTGTGGGTGTGGGTGGGGTGTGGATGTGGATGTGGATGTGGCTGAATAGAAGACAGCACCCACACCCACAGCCACACCCCACACCCACACCCACACCCACACCTCACACCCACACCCCACACCCACACCCCACACCCCACACCCACACCCACACCCACACCCCACACCCATACCCACCCCATGTTGAAGAAGAACCATTAATAGTTTCTGGTAAACTATCCGTAACATTCGTTAATGATGAATCACTTATTCAACAAATTGATCCAAAAGTTAAAAACTTACATGCTGTTCAAGTTGCAGCAGAAATGGATGATAGAATTGTTTAATTGATAGACAATCACAAGACAGATGATGCTATTGCACTCATTGCTGAGCAAATTACTCTTCTGAAAGAAGTCGAAGATTTAGACGATGGGAAAGGTATGATTGTAATATTAGTTCGAAAGGCAGAAACTATGCAAAAACGATTGAAAGAACAAGCAGTAAGTGAAAAACTGCTGCTAAATACTATGGGTGTGGGTGTGAGCGTGGATGCGATTAAAGAGACCCCACACCCCACACCCTTCACTTTCACCTTTTTTTTTTTATTAAAATGAATGTTACAATGGTTGTTTATGGAGTCCGTAAAAAACAGTTCTGCAGCTGCTTTTTTCTTTGTCTTTTTTATCATAACAACATGTCCAGTGTTGTGCTTCTTGTCGTTTTTTTTTCTGTTCTGTTTAGAAGAAAAGTATTGAAAGAAGTGAAAACAATGTTATTTTATAGAATTTGGTCAGCTGCATCGCCTTGAGTAGGTTTTTTTGCCGCCTCACACTCATGTGTGCATGCTTTCTTTTCTGTTCTTCCGAGCTGTTGTAACAATGTTACCATGGCAGAATCAACATAAATATAAAGGTGAATACAAGCTATCGTCATTTTTTCAATTTGAATGCATACAGATGGCTAGTGCGACAAACCAAAGTTCGAATGCACGATTTCTTGACGCCAGCGAGGAGCCCAATCAAGTTTTGTTGCCTATTCGTGGTTATGCAAAGGAGCCACTGCTACCACTTGAAGAGGCTATTAAGCCGATCGATGATCAACTTGATGATCTCGATATCATGGTTGACACAGCAAAACGAAACTCGAAAAAACCGGCAGATGGGCTCACTTCCGACGAATCGGCTGCTATTCATCTATATACGATGCAATGGGAAGAGCCAAATGTAAGTCTTTATACTAAGCTCAATAGCATCCTCCGATCAAAACGACGAGAACCACTCAAACCATGGTTTCGTTACTTGAAGCTGGTTCTCACTGCTTTATTCAAGCTGCCATCATTGAAGGCTACAGTCTGGCGGGGAGTTCGCGGCAATTTGACCGATCAATATGATGATGATATAGTATGGTGGGGATTTAGTTCATGTACGGAGAGTATGCGTGTCATAGAACAATTTGTTGGAAAGTCAGGTGTACGAACTTTATTTACTATTGAATGCACTAGTGGTAAAGCTATCCGAGCTCATTCACACTACAATGAAGAAAATGAAATTCTTCTTTTGCCTGGCACTTACTTTCGTGTTGTGGATAAATGGAGTCCAGCTAAAGATTTATACATGATTCATTTGCGAGAAACACCTCCACCACGACCATTTCTTGAACCGCCTTTCGCATCAGCAACATCAGACACCTCCATTGCTACAGCGACGGCAACACCAGTTAAAGAGAATATTGCAATTTCGAAAGCCGAAGGTCTACCAAGTACTGCTGCTACAGTATCATCCATCAAACCAAAAAGTAAGCGTTTTTTTCATTCTATCCGGCATATTTCTGTAGAGAATTCTCAGTGTAATATTCAGTAGTAGGACATGAGTATGCAGAGAATTGAAGCTAACAAATATTTCGTTTATCGAGGCCAGCTGAAAAAGTTTTTAAATTAGAGACAAGCTTGTGGGAGTGAGCTCTAATGTGGATGTCAAACGAAAAGCTCACTAGTTTTTGCAGATGCTTATGAAGCTTGAAGCTTTATCTAGGTCTAATCTTAGCAAAATCTATTTTCTTTTAATTCATTTATAGTGTATCGAAGAACTCAAAACTTCAAATGAAAACATGATGCATTTAATATCGAAATAATGAAAAGTTAACTACTGAGAGATCATTAGATTTAAAAAAATGAAAATTCCATGCATGAAATGGACATTTTAATGTTTTTTATAAACTCATCAATACGTCTTGAGTGTCCATTATAGACTATCAAAAACAATTACTTTCAATCCCATCACTACGAGATTAAAGTATAAAATGAGGTGGAACTATTTGAACTGTTAATGAGAATAAGCAATAATAGCACTACATGTAGATATGCCCATCATAGTAGCCTATGATGAGTACCACAAGATCATATATCAGCAAACAAAAGTGGAGTTTTTATATTTCTGAATTCGACACATCTGAGATATTCAATACTTGAAGATAGATTTCAAAATTAGCATGTATGAGGTTGTAGGACAGAATGGAAACATTGATTTTTCATCATAAATAATTCAGCCATCATTGTCAATTTTGCTTGATAGAGAAGAAACTATCAAATTTGTGCTGAAGTTACTTAGAATGTTGACAACTTTCATTTAGAAGTCCAAGAATTCGCCACATCTGGGACAGACAAGGAACTGTCTCAAAATGAATCATTATTGGTGTGGTGTTTGATTTATACGACATTTTGAATTGTTTTCTCCAAACAGAGAAAAGTACATGAATAAAACTATTGTTATGAGCATTCATCTACTCTTTGAGTTTTCAACACTTGACTATAACAAAGGTTTTCACTTGCAAGAAGTAAAATAAGTGAATAAGAGGTTAAGGGTCGTAATATTCAGTCATTTCTTATGTAACCTCTACTCCATTGAAGAACTTTTGAATTTACTCTGAGAAAACCAATATAAACGAACATCGTGGTCCTAAAGATTATTCGACAGTCAAAAAATTTCAATCATTAGGTCGACTTGAACGAGTTCGTCCTCAGTGAACATGTTTTTTGAATAGAACGCTTGTGCCAATTGCGGCAAATGCCGTGATGATCATTCATTTTTCACAGGACCTTGAATTTATAGACAAACTGCGGATCTTAAATTTGAAGTAAAACCATCATAAACGAACAGAACATTGATTTAATTGATTCCTTTGATAGTTCATCTTCTTTATGCTTAACAACTGAGTCATGGTGCTTTGAAGTGAATGGAATAGATGAATACGACTGTTGGTACTATTAAAATCATTTATTTGACATGCAAGCATCGATGCTCCATCGAATTGCAATAGTAACTAAAATGCTGAGAAAATAGATCAACAACACCTACGGGCGATGATAATCATCTATTTAACAGATCATTCTCGATAAGTTTATCTTTGTTGAATTCTTGCTTTCATGTACGTAAAACAGATGAACAAAATCATCTAACAAGTTGGAAATGGATCATGATGATTTGTTTGTCGTATGATCGTCGCATACCTTCGTCAATCGAAAACTTTATATCGTATCAAGTAATATAAGTGAACAGATCATCCAGAATCAGAATGATTCCTTTTTTATCTGACCTTTTATTAACTTGGGGACTCACATTATGATAAACAAAGTGAGTGTCATGAATAAACACGACTATTGGGAGAATTATGATCAGTCCTGCACCTTATTATCTTTCAAAGTAGCTTGTTCTTGAAGCGTTTGTTTTAATGAACACAGTATCAATGAACATGAGTATTGGGGAGAGAAGGATCATGATAATTCCTCTTCTATGTAATCTCTTGATCAACATATAGCCTTATACATTTTCATTCCAAGTGAGTTGACAAAATAGATGAATAGATTCATCGAAACCGTTGTATTGATCCATAAATCTTATTATCTTCGATCAGCGCATTAATTTTCATGATTTATTTGGATATTCGCAAAGATAGTTGAACAAATCTTTTGGCAAATGATAGTTTCAATGCCATGAGATCTTTTCCGATGATACGTAACTCAAATATTTTAGTTCAAATTGAACAATATAAGTGAACAAAATCTTGATAATGCATATTCACTCGCTACACGATCATTGATCAATATGAGCAAGACTTGATCTTCATTTCATAATGCGAAAGATAAATGACCACAATAGTGATGAGGTTGATTCATTCGGCGTGAGATTTTTTCAACTTACCTATCGATCATCTTTCATTTGGACAGCGAAAAATATGTGACCAAAATTCTTGTGTTGAGAAACGTTCACTTTTTATATGCTCGTCGATCCATAGGTCGATTCACAAGATTCGGTTCAAGTTTCAAAATGAGATGAAAACATTGATGAACAGAACCATTACGATCGTTTTAAGTGTTATCACTATTCATTAGTGGGGTCGCACTGGATGAACTACAGTCGGTGTAACTATTTTGATCCCAAATGAATGAAATAAGTGAACAGAACTTTCGTTCGGATTATTCATTTAATATGTGACGATGGATTAGCTAAAGATCGTCCAATATTTATCTCAGATTGATGAAAACAAACGAATATGATATTGATCATTGTCATTCATTTGTCACTTTGAACATGCTCTTATGTTTGTGAAGAAAATTGTGCTTTCAGGTAACTGTGATTGATGAATGGATGGTTGGAGCAACATGTGATTATTAAGCATCCTTTGCCATGTGATGTTCGATCAGCTGACCGAGTCACAACCTTTGCTTCGAAGTGAGAAAAAGAGGTGAACAGAAGTCTATTTATGAATGTTCGTTTGCCAGGTGATGTTCGATCAGCTGACCAAGTCACAACCATTGCTTCGAAGTGAGCAAAAGAGGTGAACAGAAGTCTAATGAGTAATGTTCGTTTGCCATGTGATGTTCGATCAGCTGACCGAGT